ACTTAATAATTTTACCTTGTCTTTTGTCTTTCCACAAGTCCTAGAATCATGACCTTTAATACCACATGTGCTACAAGTTCGCCTTCTAATATGAGTTATATTTTGTGACACTTGTTTTCCTGCAGAAATCCTAGAAAGTTCCTTTGGTCGACTCTTGGTTCTAACCCTTTCCAGATCACGAATATCTATGTTACTTGAAATTAAATCTTAAGATATTGCTTGAGCACCAAAATCTTGCTCACTTTGTTCAGTAACCAAACCTTTAAGCTCCTTTCTAATACTATATAATTGCCTTCTCAAATCTTCCATCGCTGCTGCAGCAACATTATAAAGTTTGCCATGACTTACTGCTTGGTCATGCACTTCATTAAGAGATTTTCGAAGATTCCAAGAAGCAAGTGCAGAAACCACTAATTCTTTTGATGTGCTTATCAATTGAGCTTGTTTACTACTATATCTATTTGCCAAGGTCCATCTAGCCAAAATGTATTGTTCAGGAATCTCTTCCATTTGATAACATTGCGTCATTATGTGAAGAATATGTTTACACAAAATACCATTAGTCTCAAACTTCCCACAAGTACAAGCAAACTCCTCCTTGGACGGACCACATCGCACGGAGTGTGAATCAACCTTGTCCCCAAACCCATAACTAACATCATATGTGGTCATCCCATCATTAGTAGCTACTTCATCATGCACACAACATAAAGAATCTTTGAACTCACTCTGAAATTTAGCAAATATCTTTCTAGTGTAAACCATTCCAGCTCGAACTTTTAACTTATGCAAGTGACACGGATTTGGCTTTGCTCTCATTGTCCACATGTCTTCATTCACTTCCTCATCACGATGACATTGTAAAGCTTTAGCATATTGGCCAACAAACTCGAATAATGGTGTCATAGAGTTCACATAACCATCAAAAAATGAATTAATGCTCTCACTTCGTTTACTTGATCTCATTCCAGCAAAAAATGTGTCCCTCAAATACACATCAATCCAACTATATCGTTGCTCATACATGCTTTCTAACCATTTCCAAGACTTTTTTCATTGCGTTGCTTCTCTGTCAATGGCTCCATAAACTCTTGTTTATATTTCTCCTTCAACTTTTTCCATGCATTCTCGGCTTCTTCAATAGTTTTACTTTTTCTCACCCACTTATAATATTGTTCATCAAATCCAGGATTATATTATGATCTTAAAGCCCGAAGATGCTCATCCTTATAGAGTGAGATGTGCCAACTACAAAACCTATGACGTGTGTTCGGAAAAACCCTTTTAATTGCATTAGTGATTGCTGGGTCCTGGTTAGTGATAATTGCACCAGGTGCTTTACCCCCCATGCACCGCAGCCACCGCTCAAATAACCACACAAAGCTATCTTCCTGGTTATCCGATAGGAGGGCGCATCCAAACAAGGTTGACTGCCCATGATGGTTCGCACCAGTAAATGGAGCAAATGGTAAAAGAAATGTATTAGTCCGATATGTCACATCAAAAACCACAACATCACCAAAATTTTGATACATTTCCCTAGCTCTCCCATCTGCCCAAAACAAGCTCCTACAAACACCATTTTCATCAATCTCTATGGCATGGTAAAAATTTTCATCTAAAGCAGTCATGAATAGGAATTGTTACATAACCACCATACACTCGCGACCAATGCTGCTCTCCCTTTTTTTCCTCAAATGTTGTTGACATTGTTGTGGGGTAATATTCGATATACCATTGCCTGTCACATTCAAAAGTCTTGCAATTCTATAAGGCCCACAGCTAGCTTGTATATATTGATCCATTAGCTCAATTGTCTCCGGTAACAAGTGTTCTTTGTTGTGGGACCGCAACTTTTTTACTTTATTTGGGGAGTTAAACATCTCATGGTTATGTTCATCAATAAATTGGCTTATAATCCAAACTCCATCTTTCAAGAGAACAGACATTCGAGCACAACAATTTACTCGATCTGGACGATCACATGTTCCCTTTTTTTTAGGCTGATAATTTCTCTTTTTTCCTGCCTTGTAGCAAACAAAATATTTTCAATTAACAGGTCCATCTAGGGATGAACTCTTTGCTGACTTCGTGCGAATACTAAATTCCATTCTTTTGGCATATTCATTATAAAATTCACAAGCTTCATCAGCCGAAGGAAATTGCATACCTTTACGAGGCATCCCACCAATAATGTCATCTTCACCCAACATTTTGGGTCCTTCAATTTCCATAGCAGTACTAGTAGAAATCTCTTCTAACCCCTCAAGATCATCCATTTGTACAGTAAGAAGTTGTCATTGTTGACTAAGCAGTTGTTCCCATCAATTTCATTTTGAGATATTTGTTGTGAAATTGGAGAAAAATTCATCTTAATTCCTGTAATAAAAGATAATGTAGGAGTAAGATTTTTTTCTGACTTTCTTGGGTAGATAGAGCATAGTTAGAAAATAAAGCACTTACCGTCTTTCGAAGAAACAGGGGTGACCGTCAACAGAGATGACGAATTGTAGTAGGAGAATGGGGTGAAAATAATGGGTGCTGGGGATTAAATCGACGGCATGGGATTATATCTGAAAAATTGAAGGAATCAGAGGAGTCAATGGAGATGGGAAGTAATGGAGATGGGAAGCAATGGAGATGGAGAAGGAGAGTGCAAAAGGGCCAAAAAGAAGGAGGGGCGGGACATTAAGAGAGGGCGGGAGATTAATAAAATGGCGTCGTTTTGGGTTAGGACTCCAAATTTTTTTTGGGAGTTAGGACTGATGGCCACTTT